TGTCTCTGTATTGTACCAGTGGAAGGAAGATTCACACCAAGGAAGTCACAGCACCTGGAGTACTAAAGAATTAGGTTTGTGGCTCCTGTCTCCTAGGCTGTATGCCCCTTAAGGGGAATGGGGAATATAATAAGCATTTATATAGTGCCTACCATGTGGCAGCCACTATACTAAGCACTTTATAGATATGATCTCAATGAATCCTTGAAAGCAGGAGCCCTCCCAGGGTACTTCTCTTGATCTCTACTGCCTAGAACAGGGTCCTAAATATAGAAGGTGATCAATACAGGTTGACTGAAGATGATGGCAGGGAACTGAGGCATACATGGATGAAACAATTAGGCAGCCTACTGACCTGCGTCAAGTTGTTATGACCTTGACATATATTGAGTATAGATCTGAGTGGGGAGAGGCCATATTCACTCACTCATTCGTTTGAACATTTGGGAAATATTGTTTGCTCAATACTGTATTATATGTTAGACAGACAGAGTTTAGATGAGACAGTCCTTGTCCTCAAGAAATTTATAACCTGATAGTGGAATAAGATATAAACACATAACCAAAATCCACAATCATACACAGTGAATATGTTAGAAAGTTGCCAGGTAAAGTGTTATGTGACATCCTGGAAGGTGGTCATAATCAATTGGATGATGAGAATAGAGGAAAATTTTAAAAGCTTCATGTAGGATGTGGAATTTGTGCTGGGGCTTCGAAAGATATCATGAATCTTAGCATCATTATTCATAAAATCAGAATGATTCTGATTGAGTAGCTGGCAAGAATAACGAATGGAAAAGGTTATTAAGAACTTTAAAAATTAAAGTGTTGAACAAAGGCCAAAAAGAACGGATATTAATTAACTAGACAGCACCTAGTCCTAAGTGCCCCACATAGTAGGTGCTCAGTTCACTACTGCTGGATAACTCACAATGCTCAGTGGCAAGATAGAATTTACATTTATCTGCAAGTTTTCAGCAGAGAAGCCCAAGTATAGACTCACTTGGAGATACTTGACTTGGTAGGGCCAGTCTTCACTCTACCTCTGCACCACTGGGGAGCTGACAACAGCCTTAGGTCCTGCTGATTTTAAAGGGAATAGAGAGTGCGAATCTGCTTCAAAGGGGATATGGAAAAAGAGGGTGAATATGTGCAAAGGAGGAATTCCAGAAAGTTGGGGACACAGGAACCCCTTTAGACAATGCTCTGGTAGGATTCTTTGTTCAGTTCTATCTATTGGCTATAATTATATTGGGACAGCTATGTGGTTCAGTGGAGAGAGCGTCAGGCCAGAGTTAGGAAGACTCATCTTTGAGTTCAAATCTGGCCTCAGATACTTACTAATTATATGACCCTGGGAAAGTCACTTAACCCTGTTTTGCTTCGGTTTCCTCATCTGTAAAATGATCTGGAGAAGGAAATGGCAACTACTTCAGTATCTTTGCCAAGAAAACACCAAATGGGGTCACAAAGAGTAGGACATCACTGAAACAACTCAACAAAATAATTATACAGTCCCCATTCACATTATCTAAGTGTATATGTGTGACTATGTAACCTGAGGTTATTGAAAATGACAGTGGTAACTCACATTTCAACAAAGTTTTAAAGTTTACAAAGTACTTTCCATACGATAGCCCTAAGACAGTAGAAAATGGAGGTATTACTAGTCGATTTTACAGAAGAGGACACTGAATTTCAGAAAGGTGAAGCAGCTAGCTTCACGCAGCTAATAAAGTATCAGAACCAACTCGATGTGCCACTGTGGGCAAATAACTTCTTCTCTGGGCCTATCTGCAAAATGACTCAATGATTTCCAAGGTCCCTTTCAGCCCAAACATTCTAAGATGAATGACTTCCTAAGACCTAGGGAGTCTTCAAGTACTTCTAAGGCCTTTCCACTTCTGACATTTTATATCCTAAAGTCTCTTCTAACTCTTAACACTGTATGTTCTAAGACTTCTGCTAGAATTCCTGCTCTAAGGTCCCTTCCTGCTCTTGGCTTCTATGAGCCTATGAAGAAGTAAAGAAGAAACAATTTCCCTAGAGAAGAGCCCTAGGTGTACTAATTTGGCTCTGCCCTCCAGCTAGAGCTCTTTGGTTGTTAAAAAGAACCCCCATCCAATTATCTCAGAATTAGATTCATAGATTATAGACTGTTACCTTTCATTTTACAGATGAGACTGAAGCCCAGAAAATCCAAGATTTCCTACTCTGAATTCAGTGCTCTTTCTACTACCCCACACCATTCATTCCTCTGTCCTAGAAAAGTCGCCTCTAACTTCTACTTTCCTCCGCTTCTCCCAAGACTTTGTGGTATCTCATCAATTCAGAATGTCACTGCCTAAATTACCACCTCTCTTCAGACCCAGGTGTAGACCACCCAGGACCCTCTACCCAAGAGCCCCAGGAACAGCCACGCTCCCCAGACCACTGACCAAGCTCGCAGCCTGACCCCCCACAGCCATGGTCCTATGGGACAATCCTGCTGAAGAAAACCTGCTTCAACGGGAGCCTCAACTTCTAAAGACCCAGAAAAAGAAAATTCTTGGTGGCCCTGACACTACCAAATGGCTCAACATCAGAAAGAAGTTTTATCAGGGGAAATATAAATATAGAAGAGGCATTATCATTTGACTTGCTACTGCATCCTAGGAACCACTGGCCATTCCATCTGGTTTACAGTTGAAACTTCCTGTACGTGTTGCTTCCACCACTAGAATGTGGGCACTTAATAAATACTTGTTCCTTTATCCCTTCTTTTCCTTTCTTCTGTTTTAAATATGAATTGGGGCTTCACAAACCCAGGGGGTTTGAAAGGCTGGTTAGGCAAGATCAAATCTTTTTCTTTATCAGGTGGTTTGGCCTCTGGATATGCTATATCTCCCTCCATCCCTGAAATTTCCATATTTCCAGCACCTATGATCAGGCTGAGTTCACTTACCCCGTTGCACTGTCAACTGCTATTAATCCAAGGTATACAGATTTACTTCTAGGGGAAATATAAAAGGGAGTGAAACAAATACACCTAACATGAGCCTGAGATATTGTCTTAATTCAGTTGTCCTGTCCTTCTGTATTGGGAATTCTGGTGTCTCTGTGAAGGGTGAGGCTACCTATGCTTTAAGACAGTTATCTTCATCTGATGCAGAAACACAGTCTGTTTCCATTTTAATAAAGTAGACAACTTGAGTTACAGTGTATTGAATTTGATTTTGATCTAATAAAAACAGCAAGCTGGTCTGGACCCCTTGAAAAAGCCTTCCTTGAAATCTCCCAAGCCATTTGCAGGGGAAAAGAAACAGAGGAAGTCTGCAGCTGGATCCAAGAAGCCCTGCTCATAAATGATGAACTGACATCCTCTCACTTAGGTTCATCTTGTTACACCTGGAAAAATCAAAGTCTCATCACCAGCATTTAACTTGACAGCTGCAATCATTTACAAATTCTAGTTGCAGCTGAAAGCAAAACCAGGGCAGCCTGTCATGCCTATTCCGGCATTTTCTAGATCAGAAGTAAAATGTAACCAATTTGCATGCTACCTGGTAGCATCTTAAAAGCCCCAGCTGAGAAAGGATGCTATACTGGACATGAACTGCTGGGAAAACTGGAAAGCAGTCTGTAAGAAAATAGGTTTAGACTAGCATTTCACACCATGACTAACATCAAGTTCCCAAATAGATACCTGACAAATATAAAAGGCCTTGTCATTTAAAAAATGCAAAAGGATAGAAACAGATATATTTTATTACTACAATTAGGGGGAGAATTCTTAACCAAATATAGGTTAGAGGAAATCATAAAAGATAAAATGGGTAATTTCAATTACATAAAATTAAAATGTTTTTGCATGAACAAAATCAATGCAGCTAGAATAAAAAGGGAAATTATCAGTAGGAAAAAAATCTTTATACCAAATATCTCTGAGAAAAGCCTGATATTTAAGATATATAGGAATTCAATCAACAGACATTTATTAAGTGTCTACTATATGTACCAGGTACTATACTAGCTGCTAGAGATACAAAGACAAGGAACTTACAGTCTATAAAGTGGAAACATATAAATGAGTATACACTTATATAAACAAATACACTTGTATTAATAAGTATATACAA